ATATCCACCCCAGGTTCTATCCCCGGCACAAGCTGATCCCTCCTAGGAGTGATCCCTAAGCAAAGGGCTAGGAGTGAGCTCTGAGCACCACCATATATTGCCTCCAAATAAAACCAAAAACAATGTTGTAAAGAAATATAAAACTAGACCCCAGTCTGCACCTCAGAATCATGTTCTTTGTGGCCCTAAGAGTTGATTAACTTCCAAACTCTCCCCTAAATATTTGCATTATGAGAGTAAACTCCAAAACATAAGTAATCCTAGTACCAAGCAGTGTTACGAGAAAGTGGAGATTTTTTGTTTGTTTTTATAAAACCTCTACAGGATGCAGAGGAGTCTATGACATGGCTGCCTTTTCTATTGACACTGGAAATGTTTTTCTGATTTTATCTCTTAGAATTCTGTCATCTCTGCTCATTCTCAGAACTGAGTTGCACACATAGGGCATTTAATAAATTCATGTCCATGAGACCATGAATGCTGACCTTTATTCAAATGAGTTGTGTTGTTTCTAGTCCCTGAATTTGTATATAATATGTAAGATCTTTTGGTCTAGGAGGATTTGTTTTATCATATGCCTGCTTCACCCAGGCTAAATTTTCTAGTAGATAAAGCATAGTTGATCAGATACAGCCATTATATTAGGAATCTCTCAGTATAAAAAAAAATAGAAAGCACATTATTTATAACATTCCAGCTGTTTTTATTTTTAACTATTCCGATTTTTGCCTCTCTTCTTAATTACGAACTGAACAATGGGGACACTTTTTTAATTATTTATTTTTTGCAGCACACACAGTGATTTAGTTTTTGCGGCACACCCAGTGATGCATTCCTGGCTTTGCACTCAGGAATCACTCCTGGTGGTGCTCAGGGGACCATATGGGATGCTGGGAATCGAACCCTGGTCAGCCGCATGCAAGGCAAACGCCCTACCCGCTGTACTATCGCTCCAGCTCCAGGGGCACACTTCTTGTTTCCACTCAAACAATCTCTGTTTTGCTGCCTTCTCCATGTTGGAAAACTGCTTATAATAAAATTAGTAACTATTTACTTTATTCACTGTTGTAGGTTCTTTACAGATACTATCTTTATTATTTCATGCACATAATAGTCTCAGAAACCATGATTGTTCTACTTTACAAATGAGGAAATAGAAGCACAGGAGGATTATTTAATCTGTAAAAGAATTCCTGTACTTGGGGACTGGAGAGATAGCATAAAGGCAAGGCGCTAGCCTTGCACACTGCCTACCTGGGTTCAACCCCTGAAACTCCATATGGTCACTTGAACCTGCCAGTAGGGATCCCTGAGTGCAGAGCCATGAATGCTTTAACAAAAACAAGACAAACAACAAAATTCCCGTACTTGTGTAAGGAACCAGAACCAAGCTAAAATCTATGTCAAAGAGTTCTGTAATAAATGCAGACATTTTACTATTGCCTGCTTCATGACAAGGCTTTACTCAATGTGACATACATGAATAATGGTACTAAGATGTACCAAGTGATGTGTAGGTAGAACCTCCAGAATAATGTTGAATTTGGAGCATCATTCCGTAAGTCAGTGGGCAATCCCTCCCCAGTATATTCTAGTTTCTTCCTTCTCCTTCCCTTTTCCTCTAATTTCAAAATCAAAATGATTGTCTAAATATCTGTAAAAGGTCATGATGAATTATTCTGTAATATTTGAAATGTGATATTCAGAAAGGTCAGACTTCAGTTTTTGGTGTCAGGTAACACAGAGATTTGTTTCCCCTGGTTACTTTTTCTTTTTTTCAAATAAAAAACATGGCAAGAGAATTAGAGCAGAGTGCCCCCTTGAGGAAATTTTGGCACCTTCCTTTTCAAAAACTCTGGAATGAAATGGGAAGTCAAAATAAATTATAATACATCATAAGGTAGGAATAATTTCAAAAAATATATAAACCAACAATTATGTTGTCCACCTTAAGTGTATATATTGGTAAATGGCAATTTTCTCTATAAAACTTAAAAGTACATAACAGTAACCAAATACCAGATATTTGACAATTAAGAATCTTAACTATTATGCTCTAATACAGCACCAGAAAATAAAAATTTTTAAATTGGGGCGGAGAGAGAGTACGGCGAGTAAGATTCTTGCCTTACTTGCAGCCTGACTGGGTTCAATCCCCTGTACCTCATATGGTCCCCACGGCCCTATCAGGACTGAGCCCTGAGCACAGAGCCAGTAGTAAGCTTTGAGCACCAAGCAGGTATGGTCTCCAAACCAAAACTTAAAAACAAAATAAAAATTTTTTAACTAAAACACCTCCTGATGGGTTCCAAAAGGTAGGACATTGAGTAGGGTGCTTACCTACTGTATAACGTACTGTTTATGCACCATACATTGAGTAGAGTGCTTATACAGCTGACCCAGGTTCAACACCCCTGAGAACCACCAGAATTAATTCCTGAGTAAGAATTACTCCAAAGACAGGAGTAAGCCCTGAATCATGCTTTCTCCTCAGAAAGAAAAAAGCCTCCAGAATATATTTTATTTCTTCTTGTTCATTCAGTTCTCCAAGTACATTCATTAAGAACCTATTTGGGGCCCAGAGAGGTAGTACAATGATTAAAGCACTTGTTTTGCATGCTGCCAACACTGATTCCAGCCCTGCCATGGTCCCGTGAGCACCACTGGGAGCAACACTTGAGCACAGAGTTCCAAGTGTCCCCTCAGGTGTATGCCCCCAACCCCCACCTCAGGATCCACAGGATCAGGGGATCGTGATGGCAGGACATAGCCCAAAGGACTGGACTGCATTCTGGAACCCTGTGTTCAATCCTTGGCATGCATACTCCCTTAGCACTGAACCAGGAGTAGCTCATCACCCCAATCGCCTCATGGTGTGGCCCCAAAACAAAAGCAAAAGAAACCTATTTGGTGTCAGGAATTATGCTGAACACAATCGTCACTGCTCTGAGTATTGAGAAAAGTTGACAGAGAATTTGATTGTGCGATACAGTGTTGACTTTTACTAAACGGTGGTACCGAACTCCAGTCAGAATTGGGACTCTGGAGCTAGACCTCAGGACAGACTCAGAGGAACTATGTTTCGAGTGCTTTGTTTCTAAATTCTCAGATTGTACAGATACACTACATAATGATGACATCGGATCTCCGCCATGTATTGTTTGTTCTTATAGCTAATGTTCTTTGCCCAGATGGAACAGAGTGGAATGCCTAATCCAGTGAAATATTGCTCAGCTGCTTTGTAAACTATGTGCATACAGTAGGTGGATGAAAGGAAACAAATGATAGAGTAGTAGAATTATAAATATTTTTCTTTCGTTTGTCTGAATACTACTTTAGCAGACTAAAATGCCTAAAACATTTTAATTTTGTTTTCTATTTTTTTAATTTATTTTTTTTCTAACTTTATTTAAACACTGTGGTTTACAAAGTTGTTCATAATACAGTTGTTTGGGCCATTCAATGTTCCAACACCAATGTCATCACCAGTGTGACCTTCCCTCCACCAGTATCCCCAGTTTCCCAATCACTCCATAAACCTATCCCTTAAGGCACAAAATAATTTATTTTATATTGCTTGCTACAACGAAAAAGGCAAATAGAATTATCAAAAAATAGTGCACAGGGGCTGGAGAAATAGCACAGCGGGTAGGGCATTTGCCTTGCACGCAGCCAACCCAGGTTCGATTCCCAGCATCCCATATGGTCCCCTGAGCACCGCCAGGAGTAACTCCTGAGTGCAGAGCCAGGAGGAACCCCTGTGCATCGCCAGGTGTGACCCAGAAAGAAAAAAAATAGTGCACAGTGATAATTGGAAATGATCACTGGACAAGAACTGTGTGCTGAAGGGAGGTAAAGTGATATACCTGATAACCTTCCTGTAACGGTATTGCAAACCACAGAACCTAAAGGAGAAGAGTGTCTGCCATAGAGACATACTAAGAGGCAGGAGGGAAACTAGGCACATTGGTGGTGGGAATGTACTCTGGTACTGGTACAGGTATGGGTGTTGAAACACCATATGATTGAAAACCAATCATGAACAACTTTGTAATTGTGTATCTCACAGTGATGCTTTTATTTTTTTTTGGCTCACACCCTGTGATGCATAGGGGTTACTCCTGGCTCTGCACTCAGGAAATACTCCTGGAGGTGCTCGGGGGACCATATGGGATGCTGGGAATTGAGCCTGGGTCAGCCGCGTGCAAGGCAAATGTCCTACCCGCAGTGCTATCACTCCAGCCCCAGTGATTCATTTTTTAAGTAATTGGGTTACATAGGAACATAAAGTACATTTTATGGAAAAAGTACTTATTAGATGTTTTTAATTGTTGTACCTATCACAACGGTGTTGTTAATATTGAGAATTTACTGAGCTGTCTGTTGCTATTTGATCCTTCTGTGTTACCATTCTCACTGAGCTTAGTAGGTTTCGGTTACTTACCTCTAATTGCTATGCTCCCACTGAGTTGTCAGTATTATGGAATTTTTTTTTTTTTTTGCTTTTCAGGTCACACCTGGCAATGCACAGGGGTTACTCCTGGCTCTGCACTCAGGAGTTCCTCCTGGCAGTGCTCAGGGGACCAGATGGGATGCTGGGAATCGAACCTGGGTTGGCTGTGTGCAAGGCAAACACCCTACCCGCTGTGCTATCTTTCCAGCCCCAGTGTTATGGAATTTTAAGGTGTCTTCAGCTTTTCCAGGAGTTGTAGAACTGGGAGAATTCTTTGACTTGGCATCTATTGAGATCAGTCATGGAGCTGGGCCATTTATATGATAGGGACTGTGGAGTATGGGTGTGGCTGCTCTCGCTTTGGCAGGCTGGAGACTTGGACCATCCTCCACCCCAGAGGGCCCCAGGGTTTTCAGCCCAAAGACCCTTGTATAGGGAGTTTCATTGTCTTGGCGTCTCCTCTGAGATTCCTAAAACATCTTTTTAATTAATTTTTTTTTACTTTAAAGTAAGTATCATCCTGTTGTCTTTTTTGTTTTTCGTTTAGGGAAACTATCGCTTCATGAAACTCTTACTTACACGTAGAGCAAACTGGATGCAGAAGGATCTAGAGGAGATGACCCCCTTGCACTTGACCACCCGACACAAGAGCCCCAAGTGTTTGGCTCTCCTGCTGAAGTTTATGGCACCGGGAGAAGTGGACACACAGGATAAAAACAAGGTGGTGCAGCTGTCAAAGTTGAAAAGTCAGAGCCAGAAGCAAATGCTTCCTGTCCCGAATGAAACTTTAAGGAAGAACCCCACTTTTCTGTGGCTCTGGGAAGTGTGCTAAGTGCACAGGGTTCACAGCCTGAGCCTCCGACTGGAGGTTTCAATCTAGGTGTCTCCAATTACTTGTTTTGTGTTTTGGGGGAAATTGCTTAATTCCTCTATACTTCTATGTCTTGGGCCTCAATTTTGTGGAAGATAAATGAGATGACACATAGAAAAAAGTTTAGCATAGTGCACAATACAATAAATTGTTCACTGTAGCCAAGTAGTGATTTTACAACAGGCATTAAAAAGAACAACAGCAAACAAAACAAAAGCACCCAATTAGAAAATGGACAAAGGTTTTAAATAGACATTTCTCCAAAGAAGGTAGGCAGTTGGCCAACAAGCACATGAAAAAGCACTCAACGGGGGCCAGAGTGATAATACAGCAGGTAGTTTGCCTTGCACACAAGTGATCCTAGCATCCCATACAGACCCCAACCCCTCAGCCCCAAGTAGTAATTCCTGAGTATAGACCCAGAAGTAACCCCTTAATGAAAGAAGTATATGACAAACACACACACACACACACACACTGAGATATTTTATGCCCTTTAAGAAGAATATCATCACCAAGTAAATGCACTGCACTGTCATTCCATTGTTCATCTATTGGCTCAAGCGGGCACCAGTAATGTCTCACAACAAATTGTGAGACTTGTTGTTACTGTGTTTGGCATATCCAATACGTCATGGATAGCTTGCCAGGCTCTGCCGTACGGGCGGGATACTCTCGGTAGCTTGCCGGGCTCTCTGAGAGAGACGGAGGAATCGAACCCAGGCCGGCTGCTTTCAAGGCAAATGTCGTACACGCTGTGCTATTGCTCCAGCCCACCAAGTAAATGAATAAAATGACAAGCGTCAGTGGGGCTCTGGAAAATTTTTTTTTTAATTAGTGAAACACCACGAGGTACAGTTGGAGACTTACAAATTTTTGTGCTTGGGTTTCAGTTATACAATGATCAAGTACCCATCCCTCCACCACCGCTCATCCTCCACTATCACGGGTCCCAGCATCCCTCCCACCCCCCATTCCCCCATCAAACCTGCCTCTGTGGCAGGTCATTCCCTTTTGTTCTCTCTCTGGAGAATTTTTAACCCTATGTATTGCTGGTAGCACTGCAGTTTGAGTGGACCCAGTAACATCTCCATTGTAAGACTTGTTATTACTGTGTTTGGCATATTGAATACATCATGGGTGGCTTGCCAGGTTTTGTCATGCGGGTGAGATACTCTTGCTAGCTTGCCGGGCTGGTAGGAAGAGAAAATGATAAAACCCTGGTAGAGAACAGTAAGGTGGTTCCTCAAAAAATTTAGTAAAGAATAACCGTGTGATCCAGTAATTCTACTGCAGGCCTAGAGACCCAAAATAAATATGTATATTCATATACATAGAAACTTATTTAACCATAAAAATGCAAACTGCCCAGTGACCACTGACATAAAACTAGTATGTGTGTATGTGTGTATATATACAATATTAATAACAAGGTTACTTATCTTTAAATTGAATGAAGTTCTGACAAATACTAACATTTGAATGAGACCTAGAGAGAGAGCCTCAGTGGGTTAGGGCAGATGTTTGCAAGCAGGTGACCCAGATTCACTGCATGGCCCCTCAAGCACTGTCAGGAATGACTCCAGCTCATAGCCAGATATAGTCCCAAACAAACAAGATGTAAAACAGAACTGAAATTTGAAGACTGCTATAAGCAACATACTAGTTAAGTGAAATGTCAGATACAAAAGGAAAAATTCTGTATGATTGCACTTTGAAATACCTGAAGTCATCAAATTCATAGAAATGGAAGGTAGAATGATATTTGCCAGGGCTGCAGGGAGGTGGGACTCGGGAGCTGCTGTTATGGGGTATGGGGGGAAATAATAAATAAATAAATCATGGTCACGGTCACGGTCCTCCCGTTGTTCATCGATTTGCTCGAGCGGGCCCCGTAACATCTCCATCATGAGACTTGTTGTTACTGTGTTTGGCATATCGAGTACGTCACGGGTAGCTTGCCAGGCTCTGCTGTGCGAGCGAGATACTCTCGGTAGCTTGCCAGCGGTATGGAATTTTAGCTGGGGAGGATGAACAAGTTCTGGGGATGAGTTGTGCTACCACTTGTTCAATAAATCAAGCACACTTAATGCCACTGAACTGTACACTTACATGCAGTTAAAAAAGGCAAATTGTGTATTTTACCACAGCAATTAAAGGGAATTACTAAAAAAATCAACATAGAAAATATAAACTCAAGCCCTTTACCTTTAGATTCAACAAAGTCTCAAAGTATAATATTGCATTTCAATAAATATATGCAGAAAAATTAGGATGGGGAACATAAAAGAATTACAGAACCTGTACATATTGTTTATTGGAAATACTACTGTAGGTGGAGTAGGAGCTATGACTCAATGGCAATGCAAGGCCCTGGGTTCAGTCCCAAAGACCCCCAAAAATGTAGTTAAAGGCAAGTCATTGCTATTATATTTATGACCTTTTTTCCTTACAGCATTACTAAAAAATGATGAATTCAACAGTGACTTTATATTAAATGCCAGTGGTACACTTTTAATGAATACCAATTAAATGTTGATATTTAACGTGACAAATGAGTTTGGTTCCTGCTGCTAAATGATCTAATTCTAGGTTGTATTGATGGCAAAACTACTTGCGAAGAATAATGTATATGAGGACAGTTTCAATTGTTGCCTTAACAGATCTCTGACTAGAGAAACATTTTTTACTGAGGCATGTTGAAAATGGCAGGGGAAACTTTAAACCAACATCAACAAGTTCTAGATATTTATTTCAAACTTTCATCTAAAGCAAATGTTGCTTTATTTTCAAAATGTGCTTTTTTTTTTTTAAAAGAATTAGGTCTAACACTGTCCTCCCGTTGTTCATCGATTTGCTCGAGCGGGCGTTTGGCATATTGAATACGTCACGGGTAGCTTGCCAGGCTTTGCCGTGCGGGCGAAATACTCTCGGTAGCTTGCCGGGCTCTTCGAGGGGGGCAGAGGAATCGAACCCGGCTTGGCCGGACTGGCTGCGTGCAAGGCAAATGCCCTACTGCTGTGCTATGGCTCCAGCCCAGGTCTAACAATTCGGTTTTTTAAAATTACAAACTTAGGTTTTTCCTTTCATGTAAGAATGAATTCTAGATCCATCCATGGCCCTTTTTTTGTATTAAAATTGGAAACATTCTATGAACTTTAGGTGTGTGGCGCAACATTAAAATCATCATTTTGTTGATAATTAGTCACAATCTATTGGACTGTTTTATCCATGTTCAGTATTCCCATTTATTAATACCTGCTTACTTGAAGGCCTGTCCTTGTTAGGTGGCCAGATCTGACTGTCAGTCAAGTTAAAAATCTCAATTTGGAAGTCAGAGAAACAGTACTCATCCCCAAGCACTAAGATAAAATATCAAACTCCCATAAGAGTGACCAGTAATGTCTTAGAGAAAAAGTTGTTACTAAGATTTTGAAACTCTCGGCTTTGCAGCAAACCGCCCTGCATTGGAGTGCCTACTACAATAACCCTGAGCACGTGAAGCTGCTGATCAAGCACGATTCCAACATCGGAATTCCGGACGTGGAAGGCAAGATCCCACTCCACTGGGCAGCCAACCACAAAGACCCGAGTGCGGTTCATACCGTGCGGTGTATTCTGGTGAGAATAGACCTGGATGGCCTTTCCAGAACAATCTCTACTGTGAAATAATCAGTATATCCAAAATATATATATATACATATATGTCTGTGTATATATATATACATATATATCATAGAAACAAGTTACAAAGCAAAAGAACACAGTAAATGTGATGCTGTTACCCAAGAAATCAAACACTCTAGATTGAACTGCAGAATCATTTTATTTGGTGGGGAGTGTGGAGGGCAGATATTCAGCAGTGCTCAGGGGTTGTTCCTGGCTCTGTACTCAGGGATCAGTCCTAGGAGGGCTTGGGGACCATATGTGATGCCATGAGTTGCTTGCCATTTCTTTTGGTGTCTTCTCTGTCCCTCCCAGTATCGTTTTGTTTTCTCTTTTCTGAGAGGCTCCGCTGATCCACTATCTAGTTTTACAACATAGAATGGTAATTTTAGTGATTATGTTTTCACTTCAAGAGTTCTATTTGGCTATTTTTCAAATCTGCTGGTCTTTTTTTTTTTGAGAAAATTTGTGTCTTGCTAACCTTTTATTTTATTTTTTCTTATTTTTATGAATAGTTACATTATGATTTTTATATAAATCTGACTCTCTGAAGTCCTTAAAAAATAGTTCTCATTTATAGTACACAATTTCCTCATAGTTTTGGTTGGCTTGTTTTAGGAGACCCAAGAGCCTGAAATGCCATTCTGGTATATTTTACTTCTTTCCCTTTTTTTTGTTTTTTATTTATCATCCCTTTCCTACTCTCCTTTATAAACTAGACTGTCTGTACAGGCAACTCTAAATCTGGGATGGCTCTTCAGAGATTTCTCAGATTGGGGTACAAAGGCTCAATGTTGGCTTAGACCTAATCTTAAAAGTGACATGACCCTGGGTGAGGTGACTCTCTTCAGCAGAAACAGTTCCAATGGCTGGCAGCTCACATCGTCTGCAGGTAGCACATCCAGCTGCTGGGGAAATAAGTTCTTCTGGCTCGAACAGGAATCTGAATAGTGCATTGTGATGTCTGTTACAGAGAGCTAATATAATCTATATATCTCTGAATAAATAGAAAAAGGAATAAATGTTGTGAACTGGCTATTTATAGAGCAATAAAGCCATATAGCCAGTAAACATGTTTTTTTTTTGGTTTTGGTTATTTTTGTTTGTTTGTTTATTTTTTGCTTTTTGGGTCACACCCAGCAATGCACAGGGGTTACTCCTGGCTCTGCACTCAGGAATTACTCATGGCGGTGCTCAGGGGACCATATGGGATGCTGGGAATTGAACCCGGATCAGCCGCATGCAAGACAAATGCCCTACCCGCTGTGCTATTGCTCCAGCCCCCCAGTAAAAGGAAAGCCCTCAACCTGGTTTATAAAAGAAATGCAGGGCCTGGAGACATAATACAGTATGTAGAGCACTTGCCCTGCATGTAGCTGACCCATGTTTAATCCCCAGCACGCAACATGGTCCCTGAGCCCTGCCAGGAGTAATCCCTGAGAGTCTGAGCATCACCAGATATGGCCCAAATCACAACAAATAAAAATTGCCAATATATATATAGTATAATGCATATGTGAAAATATTAAAAGTATGCATGTAATATTTATTTGATACAGGCCACACAACTATATCTGAATGCCTAACATATAAAAGCACATTGGGTAAAATTAATACGGATTGTCAGTATATGATATTTATTTTATCTTTTCTGTACTTTAATAATTAAATATAGGACCAGAGATGTAATACAGTGGGTAGGGTGCTTGTCTTGCACACAGAAAACTCAGTTCAGTCTTCAGCACTACATATAGTCACCTGAGCCCTACTAGGAGTGATCCCTGAGCACAGAGCCATAAATAAGCTGTGAGCTCTGCTGGTGTAGCTCAAAAACAAACAAAAAATTGAATATGAAAATAAGTCTTAAGAATCTGACAAGATCTTGACTACAATAAATGTATATATATGTGATATATATATATCTGTAGCACTGTCCTCCCATAGTTCAGATTTGCTCGAGCAGGCACCAGTTACGTCTCCATTGTGAGACTTGTTACTGTCAATAGTCCCTAATGATGAAAGAAAATTCAGAGTTTGAAAAAAATTGCTCAGTTATGTCAAACATGCTTTATTGCACATTCTTATGCATCTGGTCTTGGTTCCTTACAATCAGGATGCCGCTCCAACAGAGTCCTTACTGAACTGGCAAGACTACGAGGGCCGGACACCTCTTCATTTTGCAGTGGCTGATGGAAATGTGACTGTGGTTGATGTCTTGACCTCATACGAAAGCTGCAATATAACATCTTATGATAACTTGTTTAGAACACCACTACACTGGGCAGCATTACTAGGTGAGTTGATTGTGAATCAAAGGATCAACATTAGGAAGACGTATGTTGGAAACTTTCAATGCTCTGTCTTTCCCCTGACAACTCCCACCTATTTAATTATTGTTATACTTAATTGGTGTTTGGCAGTTGATTTCTTTTTGTTTGTTTGGGTGCCATACCTGGCACCTACTCAAATGTTATCCCAGAGTAATGTTGAGGGGTCAGTCCCAGTCAAGGAACCATGTGAAGCCAGGGATTGTATCTGGGCCTCCCATATGCAAAGCATGTCAACCCATGCTTTCATCTATGGTATGTAACATACCATATGGTATGTAACATTTCTCTGTGGTATGTAACATTTTAAATCTAAATTCCTCTATTACATGCTTTAATTTTAGTAACTTTAAATGTATCCTGCTGTATACTAGTCTCAATATCAACAGTATGCTTTAACTTTTATTTTCATTATAAAAGCAGAGCACATTCATTGACAAATATAAAATAATTCTGTTTTCGCATTCTCTGCCTTTATTTTGAAGGTTCAGAAGCTTAATTTTATGTTGTGCTAATGCCATGATACCTGATTTTTTGGTTCACAGTTTTCTAATGAGGCTTTCACTTACTTAACCTTCATTTTTAATTTTTTATTTTTCTTGTTTTGCTTTTTGGTTCACACTCGGTGATGCACAGGGGTTACTCCTGGCTCTGCACTCAGGAACTACTCCTCGAGGTGCTAGGGGACCATATGGGATTTTGGGAACCGAACCTGCGTCAGCCGCAAGCCAAGCAAATACCCTACCCACTGTGCTATTGCTCCAGCCCCCTTACTTAATCTTTATTGAGGTCATGTTTTTAAAATCACAAAATGCGAATATGTATTTATATCTGATTTGGAGTGGGAAACAGTCTAAAAGTCTTTCTCTTGTCATTGATTTTTACCATTTTGCCACAAGTTTTAATCATTAATTGTTAATTAAATTGGATTTGTTTTTTTGTTTCTGGGTCAAGTACAGTTGTGCTCAGGGAGTACTGTGCCCAGGGATCACTCCTAGTGGTACTTACATCACATATAGTACCAGAGTCAAACCCTGGTGTACCATGTACAAGACAAGCACTTTTCCTACTCTACTTTCTCTCTGACCCCAGTAGTCATTGTTATAAGATACCTCGTTTATTCCTTTTTATGATTTTCTGATCCTAGAGTATTTGGATTTTTGTCTCTTAATTTTTCCCCCATTCCTTGGTTTTGCTTGTTAGTGTATAGGTTAGATTAGTTATTGTTTGGTTTTGCATTGTCTGATATTTTAGGACAGCTTTGTTTCTTTTAGTAATTACTTTAAATTTATTTTTAAGCTTGAATCTGAACAAAATAAAAAATTAAACCTATTGATATCGGTCTGTTTAAAACTAGAAATTTAGAAGACTGGGGGTGTGATTCAGTGATAGAGCACTTGCCTTGCATGTATGAGGCCCCGAGTTCAATCCCTGGCATTTGGAGGGGGAAAAAAACACAACTAGAAATTTAGTGTACTTTAACTTATACTCTTTTATTTTGTTGTTAATATGATCTGAACCAGAGTGAAGAAACAGAACTAGAGGCTAAGACTCTTGCCACTACCAACCCTGACTGGTTCCTTGGGACTGTTATGGTTCTCTGAGGGCCACCAGGAGTGATCCCTGAGCACAAAGCCAGAATAAGTCCTGAGCAACTCTAGGTGTGGCTACAAAACTAAAGAAATTAAGACAATGATAATTTGAGTTCTTGAATTAATGTTGTATACTTAATTAATTTTTAACTACACATTTTTTTTAGGAAAATGGTTTTTGCATTCTCATTCTAGTTTATAGTCAAATTTAAGATTACTATTTGAGCTTTATCTCAGTGTACAGTGTCAGTCTCTCTTCCTTTTTCTCGACCTTAGAGAATAAATTTACAAATTTGTCTTGCTGTCACTGAACTGACATTTTGTTCAAGTTTTTTTTCTGTCTGCCTCTTAAAGCTGGTGTATTATATTTTTTCTTCTCTTATCTATATTTCTTTTTATCTTGGCTGCTTTCTTTTTTATCTTCTCCATTACCTTTCATTTCAATCTTTTTTCTTCTTAGGATATTCTGTCTCATTACACAGAAGCCATCTCTACTAAATCAACAATGCCCAAATACTTCCTGAAACATCCCTCTGGATCTTTCTCTGGGTCATTCTCAGAGGTACGCTCTCCATCTTTCTGATTTTCATCTTCTGTTTTTTTCTGTCCTGTATTACATTTTCCTTTATCCTTCAGACAAGAAGAAAGGTGCTTAGATGGACTGTATGGCAAGGTGACATTTTTACTCATATTTTTTCTGTATGTTATGGATACCTTCATCTCAGATCCTATCTGTAGAGTGGGTGTAAATGAGCATGATTCTACTCTGGTTCCTGTTTCCTGCCTGCTCTCCATGTAATATACCCTTGCCCCAGTAATGAAGCATCTTCAATCCCTGCTCAATTCTGTGAGCAACAGAATCTATGAAATTAATTATCTCCAAATGAAATTCATTATATCCAGATATATCATATATTATAGGTTTCCTCATTTTTTGGCCCTTTCTGTGATTCTTCATTTTCAGAGATATTCTCCACAATGTGCCATTACTTCCCCATTATTGCCCACTTATTCTCTGGAACTTGAAATCATTGCTTGCTCAGATGTTAATATGCTGGGGCAGGGGAATATTCAGAGGGATGGGTAGTAGGCCCAAGAGATTATAAGAGATAATACTATAAAATCACTTCCTAAATAGTAGTAGATTTTCAGTGCAGTTCTGAATGGTTGTGCCATGGAGCTTTGAGATTCTGATCACTGATAGTTGAGAGTCTAATTTCTAGTGCAACATTCCCACTATCTTTCATTTTTGCAGACAGTCTTATAGTGTGAAACTAGGATATGCAATGAGCCAATAGTTTTCTCTTAATCTGGCCTTTATAATTAAGGTCTTTTTCTTCCTAATGGAAGCATTAAATTTTTAGTGTTGTGGGTTTGTTACATTAGCACTGCTTGATCCTACATTAGCACTGCTGTCCAGAAACCAGTTTGAAAGTTGTGTGCTAGTAATTTTCTTTATCCCTTTCCTTTACATATATTATAAATCAGTCAACATCCATCCCATGTGAAAACTACCTTGCTGTGTGTGATTACAGGTCATGCTCAGATTGTCCATCTCCTTTTGGAAAGAAACAAGTCTGGAACCATCCCATCCGACAGCCAAGGAGCAACACCTTTGCATTATGCAGCTCAGAGTAACTTTGCTGTGAGTAAAACACAACACTTACCCTTTTTTAAAAGAATGACTTATCATTTTCATGTAATCATAAAGTCATATGTAGTTGTTTGAAATATAACGAGATTCCAATCTTCATTCATCTCACCTTAGTGGTAAATCATTAAAAAAATACCTTAATGTTTCCAAAGAAAATATTAGTAGCCTTTTCTGTAGACATGCCATGAATATATAAATTTCTGCATGGACGGGGGTATGGTTCAATCTGTACTTGCGGGGCGAGTGCATCAGCAATCTGATGATGATTTTAGACTTCCTGATAACCCAAAATTGCCGCTGTACCTTTGGCTAGACCCCAACAACTTGGGATGAAGTTTATCAAGAAATTAAACAGCCAAAAGTTAGATATGTGGGAACTATGCCCACAAACCACCTTCAACTCAGCTCTACAGTCCCATTTATCAGACTTATTTCAGAGACCCATAAATAAATCTCAAAAGAGATCAAAAGCTGAAATTTATCTCAGACCCGCACATGACTGAACAGATTGGGGTAAATCAGAGGGGAGCGGGTTATTCTGATGGCCGCCCAAGCAGAGTTCCCGGCAGCTGCTTGCTCCCACAATCCAAAATCACCGCCATATCTCCAGCTTTACTCCATCATCTTAGGACAGACCTCACCGAGACATAATCTGCAGAAAATTCTGGTATACATGTTTTGTGACTGAAATCTCCAGACTCTCTCAGAGTTGGGATGGGTTACCTGCCCCCAGTTTCCAATACTCCTGAAAGGAGTGGCAGTTAGCCCTCACGAACCAACTCCAGCACCACCATGTAAGCTCTACTACTGGTCTTGCTTCAGAGACCCATAAATCAATCTCAAAAGAGATCAAATGCTGCAGTTAATCTTGGACCCGCCAAGGCTGAACAGATGTGAGTAAGGGTAAATGGGAGGGGGGGGGTCAGCCTGGTGCCCACCCAAGCGGAGCCCCCAGCAGCTGCTTGCTCCCACAATCCAAAATTGCTGCCATAGCCCCAACCTGACTCCACCATCTTAGGACGGACCCCATAGAGACATGATCTGCTGAAAATTCTGATATACAGGCTCTATGACTGAAATCTCCTTACTTTCTCAGTGTTGGGATGGGCTGTCTCCCCCCACCTCCCTGTAATTCCAGAAGCCTTGACAGTTACCCACACCCCAAAGCTCCCACCCAATTAAAAAGCTACTCCAGCCTTACTATTCTGATAAAAGTACTGAATGCCCTGAACAAGCACCATAACCTCTTGGGACCTATAATGCAAACCATAACGCACAAAAGGGAAAGAGGAGAGAGAGCAAGAAAGTGCCTCCCATAGGAGGAGGCTGGGGATGGTGTGGAGTGTTGGGGAATGGTGGGAGAGAAACAGGGGACACTAGTGGTGGAAAATGTACACTGCCGAAGGAATGGGTGCTAGATCATCGTATGACTGAAACTCAATTATGAACAGCTTTGTAATGATCTATCTGATGAATATTCAATTAAAAAATTTAAGAAAAAAGTAACGTGGAGTTCATACCCAATTCAATCAGCTTAATCAATGGCTAAATAAACTGCAGTACTCCTATATTTAAATAAATAAATCTCTGCATGAAAAATATCTAAGAAAACCTTTAGTTAAATGATGATCATTTCATAAAACACTTCTGAGTCTTTTATCTTTCACTGCATCTCATGGTATCCTGTACAATTTTTAGTCTTGATTAAGAAGGATGATTCTCAATGCAAGACTGTAGAATAAAGGAGTTAGGTTATATTCCTAAAGGGCTCTGGAAACTAAACCAATAATAAGGACAGATAATTGTTACTTTTGATGGAAATTGTCATTTTATTACAAAATAGATAATTACATTTGATTCAAAATAGGGAAAATGCTTCTTAGTGGAAGACATATACGCCAGTGGCTTTGTGGCCACTTTCTGGTCTCAGATGATACTCAAATGATAAAAAATGATACTTTCTGGTTTCAAATGATCAGATAAAGTTTTCTTACAGGAAACAGTGAAAGTGTTTTTAAACCATCCTTCCGTGAAAGATGATTCAGATCTTGAAGGAAGAACGTCCTTTATGTGGGCTGCTGGGAAAGGCAGTGATGATGTCCTTAAGACTATGCTGAGTTTAAAATCTGACATCGACATTAATATGGCAGACAAATATGGAGGTACAGGTAAGAACTGAAGACATATTTAGTGTGCTTCTATTCAGATTCAGGTGGAGCTGGTATGTTAAAACCATTGTTCCTAACCTAGTTTTATTAAACTTATACCTCTTCTTTTTTTAAAATTTGGGTTTGTTTTGGTTTTGGTAAATGAATGCTCGGGGATTACTCTTGGCACTGTGCTCAGGGGTCACTCCTGGTCAATTTTGGGGGACTATGTGGAGTGTTGTGGATCAAACCTGGATCTGCCACATGCAAGGCAAGTATCTTAAGCTATTTTACTGTCTTTCCAGCACCGTACCTTCCATTTTAAAGTCTCAGTTACCAAGATATTACTTCAGAGGTTTTATTTCTTCTGAGTATTATGGCTAAAATTAGTCTTTCCACCAGCTATATGTGTTGTTTTTTTTTTTTTTGTTTAAAACACTGATTGTTCTTTAGACATGATTCTGAAAACTCTTCTGATCATTTATATTTATAGGTAAAACCTTAAATCAGTACTTTAAAACTATATATATATATATATATATATATATACAGCTCTGTAGTCATTAGATGTATTTTCAAAATTTTTGAATTATTTTAAGAAACACACACCCAAGTATGTTCTTCCCTCTTTCACTTAACTACTCTTTTCTCATATTTGAATAACATTGTCTCATCCTGACTTTCCCATTTTAGAGATACCTTCTCATCTCTAGAAGCTTCTAAGATTTCAGACAGCTTTGCACTAAAAGTTCTTTCTAGGTGCTTGTACTGATCTCTTTTTTTAAATAAGGAAGATTTAAAAGTATGTATCAGCTCATTGAAGAGAGTTTTTAACATTCATTGTCAAATCAGAATTCTCTTGCTTACTGTATCCTCATTTTAAGTCAGAAGAAAGAAAAAGCATCTAAGAGCACAGTATTTCTGAATAGAATAAAGCGAAACTATGGGCTTCTCAGTTATGTTTGGCGGAATTTTTATTCTGCTTGGAGAAACATTCTAGAGCCATTTGTGTCTTCCTGTTTTAGATAAGACCTTTCTTGGCTGCCTGAAATATTGGCACAAATTACCAGGAAGCAAAGTGAAGGGGAGTTACTAAACCTGATCTCCGTTCTGATCCCCACACATCACAGCTTCTATATTATTTTTTAAGGTTTTTTTTTCTTTTATTGTGTGATGTCAATTTTGATAAAGGATTTAACTTTCAAAAGTATTGGTTTAGCAAAGTTCCATAGTATACTTTGAGCTTCTTAAAAGGTCACGGTCACGGTCCTCCCGTTGTTCATCGATTTGCTTGAGCAGGCCCAGTAACGTCTCCATCATGAGACTTGTTGTTACTGTGTTTGGCATATCGAATACTTCATGGGTAGCTTGCCAGACTGCTGTGAGGGCAAGATACTCTCGGTAGCTTGCCAGGCTCTCTGAGGGGGTGGAGGAATCAAACTCGGGTCAGCCATGTTGGCCGCTTGTAAGGCAAACACCCTACCACTGTGCTATGTAGAGTGTAAATATGAAGGACACTGAATTTATAAATCATTACTCGAGAAGGTGCCAGTAACATCTCTATTCCTCCCAGTCCTGAGATTTTTAGCAGCCTCTTCTTACTCATCTTTTCCCAACAATTGGACACTCTTTAAGGGTCAGGGGAATGAGATCTATTGTCATTACTGTATTTGGCATATCGAATATGCCACGGGTAGTTTGCCAGGCTCTGCCCAATTACAATGTTTATAAATGTTTATAAATGACCTAAACAATTAATTTCATTGCATTTATTCATTAATATGCATTCTTTCACTTTATCACTAGTCTTGCTTTTTTTTTTCTTTTTGGATCATACCCAGCGATGCACAGGGGTTACTCCTGGCTTTGCGCTCAGGAGTTACTCCTGGCGGTGCTCAGGAGGGGACCATATGGGATGCTGGGAATAGAACCCGGGTCGCCCGAGTGCAAGGCAAACACCCTACCCACTGTGCTATTGCTCCAACTCCTTGACTAAAACGAACTTTCAACTATGAGTTTGTTTTTTGGTTTTTGGTTTTTGGCTTTCGAGCCACACCTAGCAATGTTAGAGAGGGAATATTACTCCCGATACAGCATACAAGGGTCACTCCCAGTAGTACTTGGGGGGACCATATGGTGAGCTAGCATTGAACCGAGAGCTAGTATATGCAAATCACATACTCTGACCCTTTGATCTATCTCCTTTGCCCCTTGACAAAGGGAATTTTATATGTTAGAGATGCATTCCTGACATTGCTCTTTTATGAAAGTGAGTTCCTCTCCATCAACTCTCTACAGGAGTTATTTAGGGGATGGGAAGGCCTCTTGCAGGGAATGGGAAGGGGGTGCACTTGCTGGGACTGGAACCTACTTCCTCATACATATCTATCACTGAGCTATATCTCAGCTATTCTACAAAAGTGGTTTTCCTTCCCATTAAAAAAGGAATTGTTATGGACATTCTTTGGCCTTGATTAAAATAAACATTTTTTAAAATGATAAAGCCATCAAACAAGTATACTTCCCAAGGTTTTATAGTACAGAATTTTAGCCCGTCAAGCTTCGGAGAGCCCGGCAAGCTACTGAGAGTATTCGATATGCCAGACACAGTAACAACAAAGTCTCCAATGGAGACGTTACTGGGCCCGCTCGAGCAAATCGATGAACAACGGGAGGGCCTTCTTCTTCTTCTTCTTCTTTGAAATCATGATAATGTGGCTGTTCTTTTGTTTTTATTTTGTTTTTTGGGGGGGGGTGTCACACCCAGAGGTGCTCGGGGCTTACTCTTGGTTCTGTGCTCAGGGATCACTCCTGGCAGTGCTCAGGGAACCATATAGGGGGCTGGGAGTTGACCCCAGGTCAGCAAGGCAAATGCCCTATCCATTCTACTATTGCACTGGCCCCCAGAACTATGTGGTTGATGGAGCTTATCTGTTTTGTCTATCACTCACCTATTTAAAGCCAATTAGTGTCTTCCATCACTCTGACCAATATGACCATTAATGATTCTTTCTCTTGTTTATTATTTATTATTTGGTGGGGGGGGCGGGCTACACCCAGTGGTGCTCAGGAGCTATTCCTGGTTCTGTGCTCAGGGGACCAGGCAGTACCAGGGACTAAATGTAGGTCTCCTGCTTGTAAAGCGCAGCTCTTTGAGCTCTCTCCTGCACTACCTTGCTTACCTCTCTTGCTATTTTTGTGCAAGCTGCAACTTCCTCGACTGCCTAAAACATAGAAGTTCTCTGGAGAGTAGCATGTCAGTCAGAAGGCGAGGTGCAGATATAGAATGATGAGGGATATAAAGGAAATGACAAATACCCAAAGGCAACAGAGCACGAAGTCTGATCTACAGAACTGAGTTTACCACCACTGGGGAGTGGGGGTTATAATGGTAATGGGGGGTGGGGGGTGGACACTGAGACAATGGTGCGAGACAAAATTGGACACTCTGGTGTTGGGACATTGTATGAAACACAATCGTACTGTAAATTACAGCATCTACTGAAACACAACCTGTACTGTAAATTACAGCGTCTACAATTTTTAATGAAAAAAGTAAGAGTTTTAAAAACACGTAAATTCATTCCTATATTAATTGTTTTCTTTTCCTAAATTACTCTGTTGAGATTTCTACATGACTAGGAGCTTTCTTTGTCTTTTTTTTTTTAAGTGATTCGTCATTTGTTTGTAATTTAAGTGATTCAAAGCTTAACTTAAGGTCAGCTTTTCAGCAAAACTTTTCCTAACCACCAGTTAAAAGTAGGCTCCTTTATTATACATATCAAAAGACTTTTTATTATTTGAATTATACTCATCCATTTCTTATTTATTGATTAGAGTGATTTTGGTTTTGTTTGGGTTTGTTTTTTTTTTTCTTTCCCTGCTAGAGAGTAGCCTTATTTATTTGGTCCTACTGAATTTCCAGCAATATACAGCCCACAGTAGATTCTCAACAAATCTCCTGAAATCTGCTTTTTTGTGAGCTTCCCAGCTTTGGTCCCATGGTCATACATTGTGGGAGGAACAGTGCCTTAGGGAGAAGAAGCAGCCCTGACCTCAGTTATGCTGACAAGCCCACACTTACGGTGTGATGGCACAAGTCAGGCACTACAGTGGATTATCTCAGGCAGGGGTTCTTGTAACTTGAGACTTACCTGCAGTCCAAATTGGAAGGCTCCAGAGAGGAGACCACTTTCCATCTCGGGTTTTTTTTCTCCAAAGTCAAAAAAAAAATTGACGTTTCTTACATTACATCCTGAGGAAAGAGCTGGCTTGCATTTAGAGGCATATGGTGTGAAAAATGCAGTAAGATGAGTGACCTTTTGGTACCAAGTGGGTACTCAGATCCACTATAGGAATAGCAGAGTCTCCCACTTAAGTAGGTTGACATCTCCCATCACACAAGCCCCTCAGGAGCATGTGTTTACTGAGAGGTTCAGTGGGCAGAATTGCATCCCTGAAATCATATCCCTTTGTCATTTGTTATTCTCTTTTTCTCTTAGAAAGAGGAAAAGATAATAAACGAGGAACCAGTGGGAGGAGACCATTTCAGACCAGCAGGATGGAAAGGAAGAAATCAGTGAGATGAGACGTACAAGGAACAGGGAAAAGTGTGGGTGATACATGCAGACAAGGAGAAAGGAAGAGAGAAATCTATCAAAGTGAAAAATAGAGAATCCTGAAGATGAACTTACATTTAGCCAAATAATGCGCAAATCAGTGGAGGAGAAAATACATAGTATAATTTTTTTTAAAGATAAGATTGTTATGAAAAGAGTCCTTTACTTTCTTGCTCCCCCACCCCTACTTTTTTTTTTTTAAGCTTTGCATGCTGCTGCCCTTTCTGGCCATGTCAACACCGTGAAGTTATTACTGGAAAACAATGCTCAGGTCGATGCTACTGATGTCATGAAACATACTCCGCTTTTCCGAGCCTGTGAAATGGGACACAAAGACGTGATTCAGACACTTATTAAAGGTCAGTTTTTGAAGGTCTCCAAATAAGTCAACTATTGAAACTTTTCATATGTATGTATCTATATATACATGTAATATCTATGTGTCTGTATATATACATATATATGCATATATATGTATGGCTGGAGCAATAGCCCAGTGGATAGAGCCCAGTGGATAGAGCCTTGCATGCGGGCGACCTGGCAGACCCGGGTTCGATTCCTCTGCCACTCTTGGAGAGCCCCGCAAGCTACTGAGAGTATCTCGCCCACACAGCAAAGCCTGGCAAGCTATCCGTGATGTATTCGATATGACAAACACAGTAACAACAAGTCTCACAATGGAGATGTTACTGGGCCTGCTTGAGCAAATCGATGAATGGGAGAACAGTGCTACAGTGCTACATTATATATATATATATATATATATATATATATATATATGTGTGTGTGTGTGTGTGTGTGTGTATTTGTGCACATATTTGTGCCAGGGATCAACATGGGAAACATATTCTACCACCAAGCTACCTATTCAGCCCCTGTTGTTGTATTTTTTTGGGAGGGGTTGTTTTTGAGTCACTCCTGGATATGCTTTGGGCATATTTCTGACTCTGTTCATAGGCATTGCTCCTGGCAGTGCTCAGGGAACTATGTGGGGTGCCAGGGGATTGAAACTTGATAGGCCGTGTGTAAGGCAAGCATCTTGCCCACTGTTCTAGCTCTCTGTGTCCCCATATTCTTTCTGATAAGTGCTCTTTATACTTGTAATTTTTATAATTATTTTCTTTTCCAGGTGGAGCAAGGGTAGACCTAGTTGACCAAGATGGACATTCTCTTCTCCATTGGGCAGCACTGGGAGGAAATGCTGATGTCTGCCAGATTCTGATAGAAAATAAGATCAACCCAAATGTGCAAGATTATGCAGGAAGGACCCCTTTGCAGTGTGCTGCTTATGGAGGATATATCAATTGCATGGCGGTGCTCATGGAAAATAACGCAGACCCCAACATTCAGGACAAAGAGGTAGAAATTCTTGTCTTTTCTATATAGCTTTCTACATAGAAATATAGAAACTTAAATAAGGCGGTAACTTATCAAATGAAGTCACCCACAAACCTAAGTCAATTAAAAATTAACCAAGTTCTCTTCTTGTCTGTCTATATGTATACATGTAATTTAGCACAGCGGGTAGGGTGTTTGCCTTGCATGCGGCCGACACGGCCAACCTGAATTCAATTCCTCTGCCCCTCTTGGAGAGCCCAGCAAGCTACCAAGAGTATCTCGCCTACACAGCAAAGCCTGCCAAGCTCCCCGTGACGTATTCGATATGCCAAACACAGTAACAAGTGTCACAATGGAGACGTTACTGGGCATGCTTGAGCAAATCGATGAACAACAGGAGGACAGTGACAGTGAATTTAGTGAAGTCATAATGCAGAGAGGAATAAGTTTGTAACTTTTACAATATATATACATGGGATATATATGTATGTATATCTGTATGAGTTTACAAACCTCACTTCGTTTTGTTTACTTAAAATTATCACCAATATTTTTTCATTTGAAATATAATCTTTTTCAAAGTCACAAGTGCTTAATATTCCAATTTTTTAAGGATTCTCTGCTTAAAAACTCATTCAGTCATTTTACAGGAACTCTGTGAATAATATAATTTCCATTTTACATATGGGAAATTGAAGCTCATAGAACTTGACTGTTTACTCTAAAGTGATAACAGCATCTGGGATATGGGTTGAAGTCAGGATTCAAATTATCACTGTAACCAAACTTTAGAATTAGTAAGTAATTTTCTATTTCTGGATAATCTTTCTTTATAGAGAATATTGTGATTCTCTTTGTTCACTTTAACCTGATTTTTTCTTTATGCATTATTCCCCTGAGATGATTCCCCTTATGTGGAAGCAAAGGAACAAGTGGTATATTAGTGTGAACTGGTTTTTAATTGTTCTTTTATACTGATCTGGAACACATATGGCTCATTTTTTTAAAAATTTTTATTAGTGAAACACCGTGAAGTACAGTTGTAGACTAACAAATTTTTGTGCTTGGGTTTCAGTTATACAGTGATTGAATACCCATCCCTCCACCAGTGCCCATTCCCCACCTCCAATGCTCCCAGCATCCCTCCTATCCCCCCACCCCCCCATCCCACTCCACCCCTGTGTCAGGGCATTTCCTTTTGTTCTCTCTCTTCTTTTGGGTGCTGTGGTTTGCAAAAGAGGCATTGAGTGGCACTCATGTTCGGTCTATAGTCTACTTTCAGCACGCATCTCTCATCTTGGGAGGATCTTCCCAATACCCTTTACTTGGTGCTTCCTTCTCTATCTGAGTACCTTCTCCCCCAGCATGTGCAGCTGGTCTCCAAGCCATGGAATGAACCTCCTGGTACTTATCTTGGCTCTTCTTGAGTGTTAGTCTCCCATTTTGTTACTTTATATTCCCCAGATGAACACAATCTTTCTATGTCTGTCCCTCTCTTTCTGACTCATTTCACTTAGCATGATACTTTCTATGTAGTACCACTTGTAGAAGACATATGGCTCATTCTGCATGTCCCTTAGCTTGGTAATATACTAATTCCTCTCAAATAATTTGGGAGGAGAATTATTCATGTTTTTAAAATTGGACTGGATATATGTGTCCAAAATCCCTACTCCAAATTTTCTTTTCCTCTTGCTTGTAGGGAAGAACAGCTTTGCACTGGTCCTGTAACAACGGGTACCTTGATGCCATTAAATTACTACTAGATTTTGCTGCTTTCCCTAATCAGATGGAAAACAATGAAGAGAGGTAAGCTATTGATAATGTGTATATTCCCATTCATTATGCCAGATTTTTAAAATCTTGAGTTTAGGTGATGATTTTTTTAATGATTTTGGATTCACACCTGGTAATGCTCAGGGTTGACTCCTGTCTCTGCACTCAGGAATTACTCCTGGCAATGCTCAGAGGACCAAATGGGATGCCAGGGATCAAACCTAAGTCAGCCGCAAACGTCTTACCCACTGTATGCTCATTCAGGCCCCAATGATTTAGAGATAATGAGAATATTCACCCATACAAAAATACCACATTAAGAACTCTTGGCCCAGAGGCTGGAGCAATAGCACAGTGGGTAGGGCATTTGCCTTGTACGCGGCCGACCTGGGTTCAATTCCCAGCATCCCATATGGTCCCCCGTGCACTGCCAGGCGTGACTCCTGAGTGCAAAGCCAGGAGTAACCCCTGAGCATCGCCAAGTATGACCCAAAAAGCAAAACAAACAAACAAACAACAACAACAACAAAAACTCTTGGCCCAGAACAAAAGAAGTGAAAGTTTAATCATATTCTATAGATTCAGAATCATGAGTTTGAGTCATTGCCATTCAGAATTTTATATGTCACTTACCCTAAGTTCACATTTTACCGATGGTGAAACAGTGGTTTATCCAACTTCAGGATAGCATGACATCAGGGGAATCCTGATTAACCACAAATGATTAGGCCGAAGTAATTGTATTATTTGTTTTTAAAAGTTTCTTTTATTTTTTTTAATTTTTATTAGTGAGACATCATGAGGTATAGTTGTAGACTTACAAATTTTTGTGCTTGGGTTTCAGTTATACAATGATCAAATACCCATCCCTCCACCAGTGCCCATTTCCCACCACCACGGATCCCAGTATCCCTCCCACCCCCCATCCCCCCATCCCACCCTGCCTCTGTGGCAGGGCATTCCCTAAAAGTTTCTTCTAGTTGAAATAATGTTATCCACTAATAGAAATGCCACCATGTAGCATGAGAAAAATAAAATTAAAATGAAGGAGAAGCTGGAGGCTAGAGAGATAGTACAGGGACACTTGCCTGGCATATGGTTTGACCTTGGTTTGAACTGAAGTACCAAATATGGTTCCCTGAGTCTAATCAAAAGTAATCCCTGGGGCTGGAGCAATAGCACAGCAGGTAGGGTGTTTGCCTTGCACACAGCCGACCCGGTTTCAACTCCCAACATCCCATATGATCCCCCAAGCACTTCCAGGAGTAATTCCTGAGTGCCTAAGCCAGGAGTAACCCCTGTGCATCGCTGGGTGTGATCCAAAAAGCAATTAAAAAAAAAAAGTAATCCCTGAGCACAAAGCCAGAAGTAAGCCCAATGCATCATCAAGTTGGCTCAAACAAAGAAACATAAAGGAGAAACTAAAAACCTAAAAGGAAGGTTCTGCATTTTAGTGAAATACGTATTTCTGCAATACTATAAAATTTACAGAATTAGACAGAGATTGTTGGCCAAAGACCCAGAACCAATAAAAGCAGCCAGCAGTGTGATATCTAAGCGAGAGAGATCCTTAGTAGTCTTGGGTCTAAGAAGATTCTGGTAATTTGTAGGCAACAACGACTAAACTTGTGACTAGGCTTTCAACCTGAGTTCCCCTCAGCCTAGGTCTAGGCATCATTCTTGGATGCTCTAACTAAGGTGCTCCTGTTTGTGACGTTATTCCCAGCCTCTACACCACCACCAGTTCTTTCCATGAGGAGGTAAGAAAGTTTATAGAGAAAGAGAGCTTTCTTACAGCTGGCTGGCTCAGAGAAAACATGTTCTTCATTTCCGAGGAAAAAGTTTCATCTCTCCCACTTCTTTCTGAAACTTTCCCCATTAGTTATAGACTCTCAATATTGTTTTTAGACTTTCTCCGTTTTCTAAACTTTGCTTTCTTTGCCTGCCTCGCTCACATTACCTTCATAGTTTCTATTTTTTTATACTTGTCATCATTCTTTTGCATTCTGGCTTCCATTCTTACATTTGTTCTGAAATCTGTGTCTGGATTATTATAAAAAAAAATCACATTAGAAGCTGGAGAGAACATATAGCAGGTAGAGTACTTGCTTAACAAACATCCTACTGGGATTCCATCTCTGACATCTCATATGGTCCCCGGGCCTTGCTAGGAGTGATCCCTGAGCGCAGAGCTCTGAGCACTGAGGGTTGTGGCACAAAAGGAAAAAGGGGGATGTCTAAATCAAATCTTCTGCAGATCAAAACAACAATGAGATAACATCTCACACCACAGAGACTGGCCCACATCTAAAAGAACAAAAGCAACCGGTGCTGGTGCGGATGTGGCGAGAAAGGGACCCTCCTTCACTGCTGGTGGGAATGCCGACTGGTTCAGCCCTTTTGGAAAACAGTATGGACAATTCTCAAAAAATTAGAAATTGAACTCCCATTTGACCCAGCAGTACCACTCCTGGGAATATATCCCAGAGAGACGAAAAAGTACAATCAAAATGACATCTGCACTTCTATGTTCATTGCTGCACTGTTCACAATAGCCAAAGTTTGGAAAAAACCCGATTGCCCAAGAGCAGATGACTGGTTGGAGAAACTTTGGTACATCTACACAATGGAATACTATGCAGTTGTGAGAAAAGACGAAGTCATGAAATTTACATACAAGTGGTTCTACATGGAAAGTATCATGCTAAGTAAAATGAGCCAGAAAGAGAGGGACAGACGTAGAAAGACTGCACTCATCTGGAAAATATAAAGTATTAGAATCCCAAGAATAGTTGAGATAAGTACCAAGAGGTCTGCTCCAGGGCTTGGAAGCCGGCAGTACATGCTAGAGGGAAAGGCAGCTCAGATAGAGAAGGGAACGCCAAGTAAAGGATGTTTGGAAGACTCACTCAGGATACGAGATGCTATAGACCGAACACGATAGCCACTCAATGCCTCTATTGCACACTACAGAACCCTGAAGGAAAGAGTGAGCAAAAGGGAATGCCCTGCTACAGAGGTGGGGTGGGGTATGGGGGGCTGGGGTGTGGGGGGTGGAGGGATACTGGGATCTTTGGTGGTGGAGAATGGGCACTGGTGGAGGGATGGGTACTTGATTATTGTATGACTGAAACCCAAGCACGAAAGTTTGTAAGTCTACAGCTGTAACTCATGGTGTTTCACAGAAAGAAAGAAAGAAAGAAAGAAAGAAAGAAAGAAAGAAAGAAAGAAAGAAAACCCTCTGAGTTTTCCTGTGTCTCTCACACTGCAGCTTTGCTGTTCTTCTTCCTTTTATTCAGTGAATGAAGTTCCTTCCTTCATTTAGTGAATCTACACTAAAATGACTTCCCTAAAATATTTTGCTCATGGAATTGATCATTGTGTCATTTTTTCTTTTCAGATTTAGTCTCCTCTAAGAAGACAGTCCTAATTCCATAATCATTCACCAAACTCTGTTCTCCTCTATATTGTGTATTTTTGAATAGAACTTGTAGCACTGTAGCACTGTCCTCCTGTTGTTCATTTATTTGCTCGAGTGGGCCCAGTAACATTGTGAGACTTGTTACTGTGTTTGGCATATCTAATACATCACAGGTAACTTGCCAAGCTTTGCCATGCAGGCAAGATTCTCTCGGTTGCTTGCCGGGCACTCCGAGAGGGGCTGAGGAATCGAACTCAGGTCGGCCACGTTCAAGGCAAATGCCCTACCAGCTGTGCTATCGCTCTAGCCCTTACTAGAACTTAGCACATTTTCTTTATATGAGAGTTTTTATATACTCTGTTCTCCCTATTTGTGAAGAACTCATGAAGACCATGGTCATCTCTGTATTGATCACAATTTTTTTTTCACAAAGTAGATGCTCAATGAGTAACTGTTGCATTGTCTAATCAGTGTTCTCAGGCTCCCAAAGCATCACGCTGCTCATTAATGCATTAGAAACTTCTAAAATTCTTAAGGCACACACAGAGTGAAATAAAATGGACTTATTAATTTTACTTTGGGAGTCAATATATAGATTATTCACTCTACCATAGCACAATACAAGTGCAAGGCAAGAAAGACATGAAGAGTTAAGGGTGTGGATATTTCATGAAGCTAGAAAGCCAAGAAAAATACTCAAAGCTCAGGTTTTGACATTAAGCAGATATGTGAGCAAGAGCCTTGAACCCAAAAATGGAAAAAGAAAAAAGGAAAAAGAATTAGGAGTACTAAGATTCTGGTAATGATTTATTTGTGTGAAAAATTTATTCCATTATTGTGTTTACTGTCAGGCTAATATTTTTTTTTAATTTTTTTTATTAGTGAGACACCATGAGGTACAGTTGTAGACTTACAAATTTTGTGCTTGGGTTTCAATTATACAATGATCAAATACCCATCCCTCCACCAGTGCCCATTCCCACCACCACAGATCCCAGTATCCCTCCCACTCCTCCTCTCCCCCATCCCACCCTGCCTCTGTGGCAGGGCATCCCCTCTGTTATATCTCTCCTTTTGGGTGTTGTGGTTTGCAAAAGAGGCATTGAGTGGCAATCATGTTTAGTCTATAGTCTACTTTCAGCATGCTTCTTGCATCCTGGGAGGATCCTCCCAACACTCCCTTCTCTATCTGAGCTTCCTTTACCCCTAAGCTAGTATTTTTAAAGAAACAACTAAATAGTGGTTTTATTTTTCAGTTCTGATTTGCATAGTAAGTTTTGAATTCCAGACCTAAGTAAGCAGGAGAACTACAGTATTTACTGCCTCCTGGAGTAAACATAGCTTAATTACAGAACAAAGCACTGAAGGAAAAATCCTCTGAACTGTACTTTCCAATCTGTAGATAAAAAGAGACAATGGCAATATCCCAGTCTCCTTTATCATTTCATCAGCAATGCACCTTGATGTACAAACGTCAGAACTTGGCACTGACTTTTATGTTTATTGACATTCCAGTTTAGGCATTCTGCTCACCCTGCCAGACCATTCCCACATGGCGAGTCCAATTGTAGCTTGTCTCTTGTCTTTATCTGCATTATTTCTTGACTGCTTT